CATTTGAACAGACATATCAGCATACACCTACAGCTGTGCAGAGAATTTTTGCAAGTATAAAATGACATTTCAGAAATTAAACCACGGAACTTTCAACAAAGGTGCAATTTCCTGCCTAAACTGCAACTTTCTTTTATCAAGTGCACCGGGTAAATCCCCTCCTGTTACAAGTAAGGTCTAATGCTTTAATCCACAGGCAACATTTTTGTTAAGCACAAATGGCAATGCTGTACAAGAACCAGAGACAGTCATGGCTGCAGAAGCATGTCACCCAAGGACATAACTTTCTAAATGCTTGTTTCACTGCAACTGTCTGTAAAAGACATCACAATCCAGAGGACCAAATGTTTGTGGATTTGGCTGTTAAAGATTTTACAATCAATTAGTGTTTTAAAAATAACCTCAGAGCAGAACATAAAAATAATGCCTTTTTTTTTTAATTTACAGACTATAGGTGAGTTATCACTGAGGTCAAGGAAATCAGGAATTCCTTAGCTTTACCATAATGAAAGCAAATAGAAGCACTTTCTTACTGCCCATTTAAAGAAAAATAAGCTGATAGTGCTTTACATATACCCTGGAAAAATACCACTAATCCTAGCTTGAGGTAAAAATTGTAATAGCTTTGGTAATCATTTTCTGTGCTTCTGCTATCTTTATTCAAAATGCTTTCACATCAGCATATTAATGCAAGTTTTTTTTAAAAGCACTACAATCACTCCGGAGCAATCCCTGTGCAACCTAAGAATTTGCATTTCCTACAAAATTGCTGGAATGCAGCATTAGCTGACATCTTGTTTCCTGTTCCTTTGGATGAATATTTTCATACTGAAAAGCTGTGCCAATCTCACAACTTATTCCACAAGGATTCAATAGCCATAGCTGCATTGACAAACATGGTGATAGCACAGACGAAAGTTCTAAATTAGGAATGTGTTGAGATTTGCACATAAAGGCATAGCTAAAATCCTTCTGTTTCACACTTTAATGATTATGCTTACATTTATTATCCAAATTTGATATAAGGATTCTTCAAAAGCCATGACAGTTTTGGATACACCTGTAACTCTACAAAGATCATAATTAAAATAGTTTTTTATTTTCCCCCATATGTCTTTATATTCACAATGAAAACTAGGTAACTACATGAAAATTGAAACATTTGTAGAAACATTGAGGACATGTTAGGTACACATCCTAAGTATACCTACTTCACCCTCTGGCTTAGGAATACCTGGACTGAATTAATTTCAATTTAAGAATCCAAACAAAAAAAGAAAGCAAAAAACTTGTACAAACTGAAGAGCATGCAAGGAATCAATGTTTCAATGCACAGTTTAAGATTATACTTGTGTAATCATTAGATAATTAGATGTCCCATTTATTTTATTGCCAAGAGCAATTTCTGCTTTCCATTAGCTATTTATGCCATTTTCCCACAGAACAGCAGATCAATTACCATCAGCACCATGCCTGACAACCTGAGAACAGAAAGCACCATCCTGTTTTAATCTGCCCAGGGGGAGGTAACAGTTACTACCTTTGCAGAGCTGCAAAGGCTAAGTCAAAAAAAAAAAAAAATTCATCACAATATAAAAGCTTTCCTATGTCAACAGTAGGTAGCACTTAAGAGCATTACTTGCTTTTATGGCCTCTCTTGATGTATTTCACCTCCATTGCTACATTTCACATTTATACCTGCGCCTAAAGCTTTTACACCAAGAATGAAATAGAAAACTAAGTATCTCTCTATGAAAACTGCATGCTGCAAACAGCTTCAGAAAGCTTTAAAGGTTATGCATCAGTCCTGCAAGGCACTGCAAGCTGTAAATGCCTCCTCAAGTTCGTGACAGCATATGCCACTCAGCAGCCATCAGAATTAAGCAATAAATCTTAGTTACAGCTGGTAAACATGTATTCCATGAAATGAGTACTCCCCAGGCTTCATACACACTGTTCCCATGGAGGTCAGTGGGGCACCACACAGAGTTCAATGGGATGATCTCATTTGTAACAGGGACTTAGAGCCAATTCTGTCCAGCCACAAAACAACACTGGTTTGGTGACTGTTTCCAACCATTTAAAATCAAGCACACTAGGAATTTTATCCTGGCATGCTAATAAGATCACATGCTTATTGCACAGCTGAATTTCTAAGTTTAAGACCTTGGCAGGTGGTGGGGAGTATAAGGAACAAGAAAAGAATATTTAGGAAAATGGTCTGAAATTAGGAAAAAGGACCAGAAATATAAGTAGTGTGAAACTAATGCAAAATAAAGACCAGTTCTGTTATATCTGCATGGTCTTGGGTTTAGATTAATGACTTAAAAGTTAGAAGTGTATTTACTATACAATGCCTTACAAAAATTTATTTTTATATTATTGAGCAAGAAGTCTACAAATAGTCAATTACATATTTCTGAATGTTTCTTCTGGCAAACAGTTTTTGTTTCTGCAGCAACATGTTTTGGAATTCATGCTGGTCTTTCAGTCCAAGATCAAGCTTTTAAAATGTGTGTCGTCTTCCCACTTTTATTGGTAGGCGTAACGTCACTTACCTACTTCAAAGTGTGGGCATAAAATCCCCAGGTGATTGCAGAAAAAAATGCTGTAAGAATCATTAATCAATAGCAGAAGCTTACACTGATCCTTGCCATATTCCAGTTCAGACAAGTGCTAGATTGTCTGTGTGTGTGGTTTTTCCCATAGTTGCAATAATTTCTAACTTTATAATTAAATTAAGTCATATCAGGTTATCCCACTGTGGTCTTTGCAGAACTGCAGAAGTATACAATTGCTAATTATTTTTGCAGATAGTAACATAAGAATAAAACAGAGTGATACGCTGTGTAGTTTATATTGAGTGGAGGGGACAGATGAGTTTCTTACTTATTTCACTCTACTCTAGACTCAAGAAATCTTTTGTCTTGTATCACACAAAATAGCTTAACATTTGGTTTCCAGAGAAACTGGTTGCTTATGAAAGCTGACTGACAACCACTTATACATAAATTTCTTTCCAGAAGACTCAGCCAGCTGCTTGTTTGGGTTGAGAACACGTGATACTTATTACTTCCTATTTTTCATCCAAATCCAGCAGCTGGTACCTCATGACTCACAAGCATGCCAATTCATTCTTGCAGTTCCTCAAAGCCTTTTCCCATTAAGACAGTTACACAAAAATTGTAGATCAGTTTGTATTTTCTACTACTTACAGTCAGTTAAGTCTATACCATGGACTCTGAGGGTTTTTTTCCCTATCTTCGAGCAGTTCACTCTGGACTGTTATGAGACACACTGTCTGATCAAAATCTGTTAGTGTTCACCAACAATGATGTTCAGGAACCGCTGAACAAACTTCTACTATGTTATAGCCTTGAGCAAACACTCCAGAGTATGTGGATTTGTATTAGCAAAAAAGCCAAAAATTGAGTATGTCATTCAGGAAGGACCACACTCCTGTGCAACCGAGAGAGGACCGAATATCATTTATAGATGAAGTTATATGTTGACTTACATAAAGGGAATTTAAGAAGTTAAGCTAAACTACAGATGTCTGCACTTCACCCATTAGGTCCCAAAGATGACAGGAGCAGTTGCTCTAATTGATAGAACAGAAACAGCTTTCACATGTGAATGATGTTTAACTGAACTGGAAACACAAAGGATTTTTCAGATGTAGCCTACTGTCCACAACAGGAAAGTCACTCAGTATTTCTAGTGAATTAGAAACTTTCCTCCCCAAACAACAGATTTTCCAAACGCATGCCTTCTGCTGACATACAATTCAAAAAAGTCATGACATTAATATTAAACCTGTAAGATTATCACTGTTATTTCTGCTTTGCAATCCCCCCCCAGTTTTGGAACAATAGCATTAATTTTCCTCAGGGCTCTGTTCACAGTTATAACAGCTATCCAAAAATACATGGCATTCAATTATTATAACCATCATAGCTATCAATGCTGAAAGCTAAAGCTTAAAAAAAAATCAAGTACTAAAAACTTGTGATAAAACATCAATTGACAACACTAATGTAATTAACTTACTACTGGCAAAAAAAACCCAGCACCAGCAGAAACCCTCACACGTGTCAAGAGTCACCTTTGGAAGAATGGGAAACGTCAAACAAAGAAGTCCGCTCTCTGCTTCCATGTGTGTAGTTATTCATGGGGGTACATACCCATAAGAGACACAGCCAGGACAGAGGAATAGTGGCTTTTAGCTGCTGCCACTAGGTATCAAGGTCCCAGTAGCAAGTCTTCTCCGAGCAGCCATCCTGAGACAACTTCGTGACACTGAAAAATCACTTACAAACCTCACCCTACCACAGCCTCCTACCCAAACAACACAGACATGAAGTACTAATGAGAAATGGCTACCGCACAGCGCGGGTGCTCTACAACAGCTGGTGCCCCAAACGCGGGGTACACACTGGCTGCCATCGAGAGCCTGGAGCTGGAGAGACTCCCCGTTACAGAGGGGGGCTCCCCCCACCCTCCCTTGCCCCCCAGCCTGGAGCAGCCGGCAGCCCCGCCAGGCACCGTCGTGCAAGGGGCCATATCCACCTCGCCCTGAGCGGGTCTAGCAAAGTGCCACCAGCTGTGCCCAGTAAAGCTCTTCCACGCAGCTACCCTCACCCTACAGCATTTCACCTCTCTCCTCTACCAACACGCCAGTTTTTGTCCTCTTTTTTAAGACCGTTAAAGCCACACAACTTAAGGAAACGTCGACGCTCTTACTCAGGCTGCAGCCACAGGCCTAGCCACCATCTTGAATGCGGGCGCTGAGCCGACATCTTGGGTGAGGCTCTTCCTTTTCCACTCGCACGTAAAGCCCCAGTGGACGGGGGGAGGAGGGGGCTAGGAGGGAAGGTTTATTTATCCGCTTCCCTGCCCTCACCCAAAATGGCCGCTGCCGCATCCGATCCTCCTTGAGGCGGGCGTGGCACCGGCGCGTCGCAGCGGCCGCTCTGCCCGCGCTCTATGGTTGAGGGCGGCGGGGCTGCCGGAAGCGGAGGCGCCCGGGCGTCCCATTGAAAGCGCCTCCATGCCGTCGCGCTGCTGCGCGCCCCGGGCAGGTATCGCCGGCGGCGGCGGGGGGTGGCGGCTGCCGGGCTGAAGGGGCGCCGGTCCGCCCCGGGGCGGGCTGAGGCTCAGCGGGGTCGCGGGCCGCGGCGTCGAGAGGGAGCGATTCCCCCGTCGGCTTGGCAGGGGTGCGGCGGGGGCCGCTACGGGCGAGTCCCGGCTCAAGCTGCGGGGTTACCCACGCCGGGGCGGCGGGGGGAAAAGCCGAAGTCTGTTTTTTGGCTTTGGCAGCACGCTCCAGATCCTTTCTCTAACCGGGTGCCCAGCGAGGGGGAGACCGGTTAAGTGCATGGGTCTCCCTGGGGGGAAGGCAGGTGCGGGGTTGGGAGGCAAAGAAAATTCAGGCTGGTGCACGGTCCTGGCTCGATCGGTGTTGGTGGTGAAGCTTTCAAGGTGCTTGCTGAGATAGCTTTTGCTAGCTCACCCCCCATCGAGAGCTTGGAGGAAGTATATAAACGTTTATTTTGGTGCTGAAGATCAGTGTAATGTCAAACCCAACAAATTCAAGCAAAATTAGCAGCCCCAAAATACCTCTCTCTCGGTAATTGTAAAATTGTCATAGTAAAACTTCTGTGTTCACTTAAAGGCACGTCTATGACTTATGTTATTAAGCGTAACTTTAAGAAGCTGCTTTGCTGCTTTTTGTTCCCTGGGGCAGGCACCTGTCTTGCAAGCAGCTGCCTCCAGGAGAGACGATGCTATTGACTTTGAGTGTCCAACGTTAAGCCAATACTGGCATTTGCGCGATTGGACTTTACTGAATGAATATGGGGGGGCAGATATCAAAGTTCACATTAATGGGTTTAACTGGTACACACGTGAGTTGTGTTTTAAGTAAGATGTGTTGTTTGTGAAATACGGCCAGATTTCTGCAGTGATCTTTATGTAATTGATAACTTGTTGATATTTTTTAGGTTGCAGGCAGGAGAAGGCTTTGTACATGCAGAAATATTTTCCAGTATATTGAGAGCAACTCACTGGAGTAATTTGAAAATTAAAATTTGATGCTTGACATCCGGAGGAGATAGCGTCTTATGCATAAGTGGTTTTGTCTCTTTTGGTTTCAGATTCTCTCAGATGTGTTGCTAAGAGATTAAAATCAAAGTCATGTGTGCTTTTTATTTAACTGAAAAGATGGCTAAATCTGCTTTATTAAATGGAATAATAATAAAAAAAAAAAATCCCCTGGAGCTTTGGATCTAAACTAGCCAGTTGGCACAGAATTGCGGGAGTGTCATGTAGTATCTAAGAACAGCAAGATGACTAAAGGACTAAAAATCACATGCTTTTCTGTAAGAATCTGGGTGTGCTTGGGCCTGCTCTCTACACATTTTTCATGGTTATTCAAAACCTGTTGAATGTTGGCATTCTTCTGGAAACCTGTTATCATGGGCAGCTAACAACAGCTTAATGCCAACCTCCTACGAACTGGTTCTGTGGGGGAAGAGTAGGCTATTTAATGATTAAAGTACCCAGTCAGTAGAAGGAGTTGGTGTTTGTTGTCTTCAACAGTAAATGAGCTGTTTAATGCTCCTGCAGTCTCCAGAATGCATCACAGAAGTTCAGCTTTATCCCACCGATCAGAAAAGTAGATACCCTTTTAGAACACCTTTTGAGGAAGCCTGCTTAAAACCCACTACCTTAAGTGGTATGAAGGTTGTAACAAAAAACCCGAGCAAAATAGAAGAAGTCTGTGATTAAGGCCAATGTATAATCTGCTAACATTATGACATGATGCTTACTTAGCACATGCTTTCATTTCCTATTGACTTTTACTGGATTGTGGTCTTCATAATAATAACAAGCATCTCTACCAATTTGCATAAGAGAAGCAGTAAGCAGCCTGTCCTTTCTGTAGTGACAATCCTGAACAGATCAGATGGGTCCTCATATGCTTCTTGCATCTCACTCAAATCAGTCTTTATGCTTGTGCTGATAGTATGAGGGTAAGATTTTTTTTTTTTGCGCTGGAGCTCACAATCATGCCAGAATTAAAACAATTTTGTGCTGTAAATAGTGAAAACTTGCTGAAAATGCTGCATGGGATCACCCAGCTCTTTCTGTTTTTAATTAGTACCTGTGTTTTTAATCTTTATTGTTACGTTCTGTCTAGGCTGAAGGCATGGTCTTGTTGAGGAGAAACAAGCATACTTGTTGGAAACTCCTGGTTTTATTCTTGAGTTGGCTTGAATGATGGGAATGCCATATATGGCATTATGTGGCACTAGCACTGCTAGGCTGAGGCTGTAATCCTTGTTGGTCTGTCATCAGGGATGAGAAACCTGATGTCTCTATTGCAGAAGGCTGCATTGTCCTGCTTCAGCTGCCAGGCTAGTCCATCATGGCAGTCTTTGCAGTTAGCAGGTAAAAGGCTATCAAAGAACTTTCCATTGCTCTTGCTGTTTTATTTGTTTGAAATGCTGCATGAATTAGCAACAACATTGTTCCAGGTTCTTGCTTTTCACATTTTCTTCTGGAATCTGGTTGTGATAGAAAGGAAGAGACTTTTACCCCCAAAATGAGAAGTTTCTTGAAGAGTTCAGATTCCTGTTGTTGTTGTTGTACAGGTCTCCACATGACAGGTTTTTTTTCTTTGCAGTTTTTCTAAATGTGCATATTGCTCTTGTGAGAAAAAGACTATGTTCTTATCCTGGACATCTTTTATAGTGTAGATTAAGACTTGGTAAGTCCTGAAAAATGCTAGGAGGGGAGACTGTTGAAGACAACAATGATTTTAAATTCTTACTTATCTGTTTTTTTGTCCAGTGACGTTTCATGAGTCAGACTGGGTTGTTGGGAGTTTCTTCTGAAGATGTACATGTTGGTTGAAAACCGTACAAGTTCCCATCTTCATCTGAAGAGGTCACCTGGCATCCGATCTTGGTCTCTCTTTGTTGGTAAGACCATAATATTCCTCAGTGTATTTCAGAACTTGCTTTAAGGGAAGGGTTTCACAGAATAAATTCCTGAAAGAGTCTCTAATGAGAGATGCCTGTCTTTCAGGCAGTCTTCTTTCAAAAAGAGGAATCTTCATGCTTTGAACTTCTCCTTTAGCATAGCCACTAAATGAGTCTGAAGTCTCCTCCTCAGCATGGTAGTTTCACTGTGAGACTGATAATTTTTCAGTCTTTTATCTGCAGAACCTCAAAGGCTCATGGACAGAGAATTTTAAGGGAGTCCTGAAACATCAAGAAAAGAAAGTTTATTATATGCCATATACCAATATAAATGTGAAGGTTCTGGAGGGGATGCATACTTACACTGAAAAACATCAAGGTTTTCAGAAATGGAAAAATCTGCAGTGGTGCAATGCTGGGGTTAGATCTTGCGTGTGGTTGACAGTGAACTCTTAACGGCACTGTGTGTATGAAATAGGAAGTTATACAGGATGTTCTGAAAGGCATCTGGTTTTAAACACTAAATATGCAGGGAAAAAAAAAATGGAGTGGTGCTTCTTAGGACCACACTGAGAGAGCTGGTGGGGAAAATGTGGCATATCCTGCTTTCCAGCTGAGTAGTTCCCATTGCAGTAACACTACAAGGTTGTCATTGCTTTCAGTGATGTCATCTTGTCAGACTCTCATTGAGACAAGATGTTTGCAGTTGCAGCAGCACTCTGGGGCATGAGGCACTCTTCCGCTGCTTCCTCCTCAATGGGAGAAAGGGAGCTGGCAGCTTCTGACACAACTTTCTCGCAGAAGCTTTCTTCTGGCTCCACAAAGCACTTAGAGGGGAAAAATAACCGTTGTAGTGTTTATGGTAGCATGCTCAAAGTTGTACTGCGTTTGAGAGGAAGTATGGTGTAATGGCTAGATTGAGAGTCCCTCTGAAGTTCCGTTCCTGATTCTGTCATGACCTTTTATTTCTGACCTCAGCCCCTGTGCTTTTAGTGTCTTTGCAGAATGGGAGTTTTTTTATACTGATTCAGAGAAAAAAAAAACCCTGAATCTTTCATATAGTGATCAATGTTGCAATCACACTTGTCCCTTTTTTGAAAAGTGATGAACTTTTGAATATTCATGTTTTTCATCAGGGGATTTTAGATGGTTTGAGCTGCTTGTTTGTCCTAATTCTCTTCCCTCTCATCCTAGGAATAGCCTCCATAGGTTTGGCTGCTGCTTATTATAGTGCAGGTAATGGCCTATCATTTGTTTTGAAGAATTGTTTATGTCCTGTCGATCTGTTTTTCATGCTGATGACTGTTCTCTGCAGCTTCTGTCTGGCCTTACAAAGGCAGCATAGGTACCTATTGCACTTTGTGGCGTGAATGTTAAAATCCAATAATAATTGTTGCCTGCGTATGACTTACTGTGTTTTAATGTTCTATTTGTTACTCAGCCTCCCTTTCCATTTGCAAGAGCATTTTTAATGATATTTAGTACTCTGTGGCATTTTGTAGTTTCAGTGGGTTTTATAAATGTGATTAGTTGGTCATCACAGCTCTCTTGGGAAGATATGTAATGATTGTTTGCCACCATAATGAAATGATTACCTTGCCTTTGATGGAAGTGCTCTGTTTCTCTGGAAACTGTTAAATCATCACTAGCAGAGATTACTCATAAAGACACCTTTAGAGAACAGACAGCTACTGCTGCTTCCTGCCCCCCCACAATAGAGCAGACTGCACCAAATGCCAGGGATCCTTCCACCTATGGAATTTATCCTGCAGGCTGTCCTGTGATTCTCTTGCTGCATCCTGTTAACATCAGATTTTAAAACTTAATAGTGTGTAGGAATATGCTGTCACTATAATCGATGTATTTTTATTTAAAGAGCGAAGTCCAGTGAAAGCTGCTTGATACACCAGCCGTATCAGCCTTTTTTTCTTAAGAAATTGCAAGAAAGTTTTCTGAAACAATACTGAGCACAGTTCTACTTTGCCTTCAGTAAAAGCCTGAGTAAGCAAATTGCTTAGGCTGCTATATGTAAACATTTCCAGGACATAAAATGCAAATGTTTGTTTGTTGACCGGTCCAACTGCTTCCTTTTATGAAGAAACATGTTTGCTTCAGTGAATTTCCATTTTCCCTTGTCCTCTGCAGCACAAATATTTGGTGGTTGACAGCAAGTTGAGAGTTTTGTGGATGCCTTGTAAGATGCCTTTGCTTTTAGAGAAGAGAAAGATCTGTAGTGATGTTAACAACCTTGCCAATAATTCATATGCTTATAATTCTGCATGGTTTGGAGCCCAGTGTAGATGGAATCTTTGAAAAATATGTGAAGAGTTTCTGTATTTTTATCCTGGGAGAGAGCTGTAAAATAGCTTGGATTACAACTAAAGGCAAAAATGTTGCATCAGAGAAACCTTTTTCCTTTTGTTGCCTTTAAAGGGAGCATGTTGCTTTTAAAACTAACTGTTTGAATACCAGAGAAGGAAAAAAAACCCACCTGAATTTGTGCATTTTTTGCATTGTTCAGACAGCTTGGCATGGAAGCTCTTCTATATGGCTGGGTGTTTCTTTGTGGCAGCACAGAATCTGGAGCAGTGGGAGGTAAGATGCTGAACTCAGGAAATGAGGTCGTGTGAGTTTAGAAACAGTTGGCAGATGCTGATTCCAGCAGCCCCATGAACTTGCTCAGTCCAAACAGACAAGTTATGCTTTTGGTATTGAGGAAACTCTTTGGGTTGCTGTGCTAAGAGTAGAGTTAGGGCAATAATTCTTTCACTACACAAGCATGAAAACGTGAAGCTAAACCTAAGAGTGCTTTTTAAGGGGAGACTTGCCCCAAAATGTTTTGTGGCCTTTTCTTCCTCTTACATAAGAGGGAGAGAGAATAGCACATTCAGCTGCTACAACATGATTTTGTACTTAGCTGTTCCAGCTAATGACAGAAGGACCATTAAATAGAGTAGCTCTAACCTTCCAGGCTACTCAGCTGTTTTCCATTGGGAAAACAAATGGTGTTTGTGAAGCTGGTTTATAATCTTGTGGATGTTGATTTGTTGAGAGTTGGACTGAGAGCAATAACCTATTATATAGGCTGGTCACCTTACTGACCTGAGTTGTTATTAGAATAAGCAACCCACACATATGAGACATCCTCTTTTTATTGACTGGCAGGGATATTTTAAATGTAGTGTAAGCCTGGCCCATATAGCAGCACAATACTGGAATTTTGGTGGAGTTAGTGACTGTGTTAGTGAAAAGTGTAACTAGAACTTATGTTCACTGTATACTTATCCTGTAGGCCAAATGCATACACCAAAAGGGAAAATTACAGGAGCTCCAAGTTAGTGTTCAAATTTGATTCCAGGCAAAATTTGTATTACATAAGGAATGTGGAAAGAGGGGTAATGAAGCCAACTTTAACTTCCTTCTAGAAGGAACACAGGAGATATGGTAAAGTCTCTGTTAAAGCCAGGAGCAAGATTATGATTTTCACAGTCTAGTAATAGAGAAATGTCCCTAAAATAGCTACGTATTTTTCTTTGTTAGCAAGATTATTTTCCTATGTAACTATTTTACTTTGAAGCATAGCTACTGATGGTGTTTTTAAGAAAATCTTGGGTTTTGTTTTTCAATTTTACAGGAAGCTGTATTTGATAAGAGCAAGGGAACAGTCTGCCTGAAAACATTCAATCTTTACAAAAAAATACTGACCTTCTCAAAAGGAGGCAATGAACAAGGTGAGAAAGCAGTATCTGTGGTAGCAAACGTGGTGACCAGACAGAAGAAATGCATATATGCCCATTTAATAAACTTCTCTGGAGTTCTGTACTTAAATTACATATGTTTCCAGATCTGTTTTGTTCCCAAGCAGCAGATGTAATAATCTGCCTCTCAGGACCCAAATGTTTTTTCAGGTTAGGCTGCTGAATGCATCTTGTTAGTTATTTTAACCCAAGGTAACTAGGCTTACACAATGCTTTCCATAATGGTTTTAGCCATTCCTTTGGGATGTTAATGTGCAGGTTTACATTTCCCTTGGATAGCCTGCTTTGCAGGTAGGACTGGTGGAAAAACTTAAATTTTGGATCAAGGAGTTGAGATTTCTGTAATCTAATCTGGTTTTGGTGGCAGGCAAATCTTCAGATATATGCAAGCAGGCATGTTTTATCCTGCAGATACACAATACGCATTTAAAACAGCATATTCAGTAGGCTTAGCTTAATGCAGTATCTTATTTCTTTTGAGCTTCCTCTCAGAGTAACAGAAGCTGAAGTATAGTATGTGACTTGGTTGAGTCACTGTGAGACAGGAGCTCCATTGCAGACTAAAGTAGGATCCTTTTCAATGTCAGATTTTTTTTTTATTCTGCTTGCTAGTCTAAATCAAACCAACTGTCAATATGCTTAGAAAAATGACAAAATTTGGAATGTCCTTAAGCTGAATTGGTTTTTAGACAGTTGATTTTGGAGATGGAAGATAAAAGATGTGGAGAGAAGGATGTTTAATATTTCTGAACTTTTCTTTAGGGTATGTTTATATGTTGGGGAGCTGAGCACATCTCGTCCTGAGAGGTTATTTGGTAGTATCTCTTTCAAGTACTGTTAATGTGGGGATGCAGAGATCAGCAGATGTTCTAAACAGTTAAATCTTTCAGTATTTGCTCAATCTCAGTAAACTTACCACCTGTTTACCTACTCTGTACAGAAAAATAGTTAAAACTGTCATTAAAGTAAGTGGGAAACATAAGTAATAAACTAGTGGTCCCCAGTTCCTGGGAGGCAGTGTAGCTTGTTTATTAGGGCCTATACCAGCTAATATGTGCTGTAGTCTCTCCTTGTTTATTTTGCCTGAATAGCTCAGCAATTGTTTGCTATTGCAGGACTGCCCTGGTTGTATGGGTTCAGAGCAATAGTACTCAAGAGCACAGAGTCCCAGTCATGGAAGTCACTAGTAGCAGTGCTGAAAGTTTACTGTAATGCTAATAGACTGCTTTGTTTCCACATCTGTTTACAGTAGTGGCTCTTTTGAATGAGATCCGAGATGTGAACGTGGAAGAGGAGACTGTGCGATATTTTGGGAAGGGTTACCTGGTTGTGCTACGATTTGTCACTGGATTTTCACACCCACTGACTCAGAGTGCGGTGTTGGGCTGTAGAAGGTGCAGTGTGGACTTTTTTTTTTAATTAGAGTGTGTAAGGTGGGAAATACCAGTCATATGGGACAGTAATTGCCAACTATTGAGACTCCATCTTAGCTCCATTTTCATACTTGCTGATATGACCCTGTGTTAATTCAGTTTAACTTTTTAAAATGCTTTCAGTTGTGGGTATTTGGGTAACACCATCTCCCATCAGAAGACTGATCATATTTAGATACTTAAGATCCCTTTTGTGCTGCATGTCTGCTGTGGTTACCTTCACTAGCTCAGCTGTGCAGTGGCACAGGGGATTAAATCTATTTTGCAAACATTTGGTGTATTTATCAGTTAACAGAGGATTTATTTTAAGCATTAATAATAAGGAATCTTGCAGCAGGGACTGTGGGAAAAGGATTGATTTGTTGTGATGTGGAAGTAACAGCTTGGCTTGATATGTCTGCACAAGTGGGATGCTGTCAGCCATACTCTATGCCGTATGTTGACTGGTCCTTCAAGCAGTTATTCTCAAGAATTAGCATGCCTGTTCTTGTCTTATGGACACCACAGTTCCTCTAACTCTTACATTGCTTCTTCTTTTCCACAGTGATGTGGAGGCAGTTGCCAAACTCATTACTAGTTTTCTGGAACTGGACAGAGTAGAGAGCCAACAAGATCTCTCTCAGAGCAGCGAAACAGAGGCTAGTGATGCAGATGAACCACAGGATAAATATTAATAGTCATCGTGAGCTGAAGAAAGCAGAGGCTTTCAAACATCTGGAAAATATACTGATTGTTCTTCAGAGAAAGAAATTCCTCACAATCTTGGCCATGGCATTTCTCTACATGTGCACTTACAATGGGACGAATCTGTCTTGGGGCACTTTTTTAGTGCTAAACTGCTTCAAGATCCATGCTTCCAGTCTTGCTGTTGTAGAGTCCAAAGCAAATTCTGTTTTATTTGTTCCTTTGCCTCAGTTCATGCATGTGGACACTGCTGGCTTTTGAACTTCTCAGCTCATCAAACATGTCTAGGAATAGTTATTTATTAATTCATGGGTTTGAAGTAATTTATTGCTTTCCCATTAATGAACTGGAGATACAGATGTAAACTTGCACTTATTGCAAACATCTGCTGCAGGTACAGTATATGAAATGTAGAAGAGCTGAATTTGTAACTCGTAACACAATGCTTTGAGGTTTTTCTTGAAATGTTATAAATGACGGAATATATTGCTAAATTGGGTTTAAGCAGCTTAATATATGCAATTAGGTGATGCTGAATAGTGGCATTTTTATATTCTCTACTACTGACTTGACATTAGATACCAGTGGAAATTAAAGTTTGAGTGACTGTTTTGGAATTGGAACCATCAGGTTGATCAGCTTGTTACACTGTCTTACTTCTCTTGGACTTACCAAGGAGCCATAAATAGTAAACAAAAAATGATCACGTTGACAATTCAACATCTTTGCAGTGTTCTAGCTTAATCCTGTTCTGCTTAACTTCTGGGCATAGGCTACCCCAAGATAGAATAACCTTTTTGTAGATGTCAACATTTACTATTTTAACTGTGTATTTAGAAAAGAAGAAAAGCACATGTGTTTCTTTAGGTAGGGAAAAAAATAATGTCAAACAACATGGTAGTCTGGATTTATTTAGTATTTCCTCACTTGAAATGATACCGAAGTGCTAAATAATAAATTTTTTTTAAGATAGCTGGGATAGATCCAATGTTTGACTTGTGCATGTTTTACTCCAGGTGTGTACTGTCTTTGTTCTGACCAATGGTTTCACAAATAGTTAAAATATGAATTTTCCAATATATTTTTTGAAGTAAAAGCTACCTCTGTTAGTCAACATGTTCTGTCTAGAACTAAAACTTCATCATGCCTATATCAACATGTCAGTGTAAGAAAAAAGTTGTAAAGAGCTGAAAGTTCCTCCAACAAGCTCCTGCTTGTATTAAAGTTCACTAGGTTTAATTTAGGAATTTTATGGTCTTAAGACCTGAATTAGAAAATACTTGCACAGTTACTTCTAGGACATCTGAACAGGGTACAAGGTAACTGTGTGGTCTGCTTTCACATTTGGCCAGCAGCAAATGTCTTCTGGCAGCGGTTTCTTCAGGACTGAAAAGAACCTGCATTCTTGTTTCAAAGCACTCTACCTCTACAGAAGAGAAAGCTATGAAAAGATTTTGGCAGAAGCTATATCCTGTTGTGTGTTCCAGCTATATCTGAAACTAAGCACATGCTTATCTGACCAAAGAACAGGTGGTACCAAGATTTTACTTCCAGCTGTTTAGACCTAGTATGTGCGCTGTGAGGCAAAGATGCTCTTACTGTCAGTTTGAAAGGGTAATCAGACTGTAACAGGGAGATAGCTGTTGATGCAGCTTGACTGCAGCACAGAAGTGGGTCTGTTTCTATTAAATAAGAAACTTGTAATCACATCAGCAATTAAAGCAGACCTCTGCCAATAGACATGCTTGTGAAGTCCTCTGAGTTGGTGGGCTAATTGTGTGGCTTTCAATCTCTCTACCCCACGTCACTGGAATTGAGAAGCTGCTGTGTACAAATGTGGGAAAATTAGGTTGCAGGCAATTAGCTAAATTTGGCCTTTATTCTGAAGCACAGCTGTAAGCTAAGAATAATCATCAAACCTGTTTAAAAAAAAAAATTGCAGGGTGTAACACTTTGGAGAGTTCTTCATTTAAATCCACTGTAATATATACCCTAGGTGACACTCATTTTAGAGAGAGGAGAATGAGATTGGGAATTGGGAGAACTCTTTTTTTACCCTGCTGTGTAAAATGAGAGTGTCGAGTGTTCTAAGGACTTACAGTAAGAAATACTGAAAAAACTAGAGTATTTAGTGGTATAAAGTAAGCAGAAGGGCTCTACCTGCAGATAACTGTTGCTTCATAGCAAAGATGTTAAGAGGGAGTATGTGGTACGGATGTGCATTGCACTTACAGTCTAAGCCCATGGATTTGACCGTGGATGAAATGGACAAAACTACCTGCATTCCATTTTAGCCATACTGGGTTTCTTTTGTATTTCCATGAGAGCTAACATTCCGTGGAAGACGCAAACCACACTGTGGTTTTCCAGTCAAAAATCAGCTTTAGAAAGGTACGTCTATTGATCTAACCCTACACTGCATCATGTGCCCTGCTTCTGCTGACCTCTTTTGTACGTGTGGCTGGCTGTATGTGCTTGATGTTAGTAATGTGTATGCTTATGGACTATGCAATATCATTATACAAAGACTAAAACAATGTAAGGAAAATGGAGAATCCCTAGAAAGAGGAATGACCTATAGTAAGATATAGCTTGAAATACATTCTGTGGAATAAGTTGCATTTTGAGTTGATGTCCAATGATCGTAGCTTTTAAGATGTTCTGTAGTGTCCCCCCTCACACCTCAGTATCCTACTGATGGTAGACAGGAGAGGATGACTGCTGGCATGCACTGTGTGTCTAGCAGGAGTATTTTGACTCCTCAGTCTTTCACTTGGAACAGCTGATGTAATGCTCTCCTGTGCCATTTCCATTTTGCATTTGGCAGCTCTGTCGCCATACAAACTAGAACAGTTTCAAATGGGAACCCAAGTTCTGTAGACTGAGCTGATGTGAAGGGGGACCGAGTAGATTCTCCAAATGCTGTGGGTTCTGCCTGCGGGCCGTATGTTGGGCACTGCTGACTGATGCATACAACTGGAAGCTTGTGATACCGATCGACAGTGCTGGTCAAGAATGTCTTAACTTGGCAATTGGATGCCATACATGAACGTGTATCACAGGCTGATGTGTATTTCTCTTGATCTAAGTTTTGAGCTTCCTGTCTTCAAAAACTTTGTCTCTTGTACTTGGGAGACAGATCAAGATTTTCATGTTTTGCAGTAACTGTATGCATGGAAAATTAACTTGCAAATTGCTGTTAACATGGATTTGGCTACAGCAATGTCTGTGGACTCCTCAGCAATGTGATGCAGCTTGAAGAAACTTTTAGAACAGCAGGTGCTAACTCAGGAGAGGTTCTGTTCTTCCCTCTTTCCACTAGTCCTCTCTCTGATCCTCTTTTCCTGCCACTTTTCACCATTTTACTGAAGGCTTTTTCAAATGGTTTTCCTCACTTCTCTTGGGCCTAGCATGTTGAAAGGCCCAGTAAAAGTAGCCTTATGTGTCCCTGATGTAAAAAGTGGCTTGTACTAAAAGGAATGATGTGAAAGACTAGTTTTGGTTAGGAAATTAGATAGTCCTAGAGGAGTATTACAGATGTATTTGTTAAAGTTTTTGCATCTCAGGCTGTCTAGTAACTTGAGACTAGACAGCTGTAGTTTGACTTACAAGTGATTTGAAAACCTGCATAAAAGACCTTAAGTTAGATCTAACCCCACTGCTCCATAAAGCCAACACTTTCTATTATGTCCTTTTAATATAACTGTATCATAAGTGCCATTTGGCAGATGCTTCAGCTTAAACTTGAGTAGCACATCTGAAGTTACTTCCGTGTATGTGGCTGGATGGGAACATAGCCTTAGCTGTCATACTGAACAAAAGCAAGGCTGTCTGGTGTACAAAGGGAGAAAATTGCATCATCTAAGCTATAATCTAGTATTCTGTTATTTCACAAAATGAGATATTCCGGTAAATAGAATCAATTGTGCAAGTCTTGAAGAAAATCCAAATATTTATACCATATAGCTGAGACTTGACTCTTGTGCTGTATTTATGAAGTTACACAGATACCAAAAACTACTCCGGCTTACATAGTAAAGAGCGCTAGTTCTGACACTAGTAGATTGCTGAGAGGCAAAAGTACATCTGGAAAATGTTTAGAAATTGCTTTTCTACTTTTAAATTGCAAGTAGAATTTCAGCAAGGCCTTGTATATTGTCTTTTTTAAAAAGAGGTCCAACTGATAAAATCAATTTTGATAACTTGTTTTGTGTCACTGTAGTCTTTTTCTATTGTTTTTAATTAAAATGTATTAAAATATCGATGGCTGTCTAAATCACTTGGCATGGACCTACTGAAGGAGTTAATGGGGGGGGGGAGGACAGAGTACAGGAAGCCCAAATACCTAGCTCCTTACTGACCCTGCTTGTACTTTTACAGCAGTCCAGCTTGCAGTTTCATATAACCTAATATAACCAACTCTTCATGGGTGAATATATTTACATTTTCCCCCCTTTAAACCAAACCAACATGGCACATGCAAAACAAAGGCAAGTTTCCACAAACATTTTGAGTATCAAAGGATTTATTAAAGTAAAATAAATTAAGATCTTGTTTAGTTCAAGGTATGTGACTTCTGTAATTAAGGTATACATAGCAGTTGATTTTTTTTTTTTTTTAGATAAAAATCTGCATGTGGATCTACTCCTGTAGCTCTCATTAAATAAGTTAAAGATTTGTCTTACGCTGTCCTTGTACTTTCTGTAGCTAGAGCTATGCTCTTTATAATAGATTGTTCCAAGAAAATTTCCATACTTATGCTTCCAAAATAAGACTTTCAAGAAAGCAATAAATGAAGCAAACAAGTACAGAATATTTTGAATATTCATGGTAGTGTACTTAACTACCAGACTTCTGAATTATTTTCCCTTGTGGTGATTACCTTAATGCTCCATTTAAGTCGACAAAATGTATTGCTATACATTATTAAAAGGTCCACATTAGAGCAGAATAAAACTTAGCATTTTTCCCTCATATTCAGTAGACTTGAGTCACGCTTCAAATTTGGATGAACCTGCAGTCTCAGGTTTTACATAGCAAAGTAGATGCCTTAAAGTGACTGGGATGGTGCTTTTCTGTGGGGGTGAAACTATGCTTAGCTTTGATGATGCTTTGGTAAAAAGTCAGGAAGTCCCATGTGTTAAGGCAGTTTTCCCTCAGAGTCCAAGTGTTACATCCACTATTGGTAACAAGCCCCTTTTCTGGAGCTCCATCTTGCTCTGTACTGTGATGGTACATGTCCTTTCATGCATCTGCTGTAACCTCATAAGCATCTAGACAGCGGTTCCTTGCTCAGACTCCTGCAAAAAGCTGGATGTTAAGTTCCTGATCTCAAGCTAATCAAAACTGGATTTAAGACTGATGGTTTTATGTATTTCAAAGAGTGAAAAGGTCCAAAACAAAACCTGGAACAAATCAACTGCTATATGCTGTGGAAGGACTTCACGGAACAGTAGGACGCATCCCTGAACATAGCTGAAAGATGGAGGAGTCACAGTACAAAACATATGGACCTAAAGCATGTTTAAAGTATCCTAAATCTTTCTTTTTATGGAAATTGTGAAGGGAGGACACCTTGGCTACTGACTAGAATTGAACTTGTAGAACTTTTCCAGGTCATTGTTATGTAAGAAAGTCTATTACAAATACTGAATTTGGAAGAAACTAAGTTTTTCTCCTGCCTTGTAATATAGCGGAGTTCTGACTCACTCCTGCATTCTGTTATGCAAGGGGAGCAAATCTGACTTACAGGGCAGGTGATTTAAGGCTCAGCAATGTGTTAAGACAGGAAAATTAAAATAGAGTTGAAGCCTATTACACTAATAAATTCCTTTATGCCTTCAGGTCACTTTTGTTTAATCACAGTTCTTGCTTCAACTCTCAAGATGACAAACTAGCTATATGACTAGTTGCCAATTTCCACTAGCCATGTTCTCCCACAGAATAAGACAGACTAATTTAAATACTCCTACTGTTGCGCTTTTATTGCTTTATCTAAATCATCCACCACTTGCTGCAGCTTCTGTAGGCTGGGGTGGACATTCTCTTCCAACCACTCCTCTACAGTACACTTGTGGAAAACTTGCTCCATGGCTGCTTGGAGGTCTTGCACCACAGCATTCCACTTGGAGAGAAGACTAAGCAGAGATCAGAAGGAAGAAACAATCACATTTGCAGGTGAGCTCTGTCTCAAGGGAGGGCTAGCTTATTGGGCCTTTTAAAGGGAGTACTGTCCTTAAAAGGACTTTACAGGAAAAGAAGCATCTATTACAAGAGCTCAAAGGACTTGATTTTGTGCAGATGGCAAAAGGTTTGTGTTTAAGTACCGTAAATCTTGGCACTTTTCTCATGCAGTGACTTTTAAAGTACCGAAATGTGAGCTCCAAAAACCACTATACTCATTTTAAGTGTAACTGAAACCTGCTGTGAGACTTGTTGGGAATTTAATTCTGGTTTCTATCAGGAAGAGTGGATGCAGTTGGATATTCACCTTATCACAGCAGAAATTGTATAAAGTAGCCAATCAGCATAATGTCTAGGACAAGTTCTGAAAAGTGCATACAGTGACAGGGAGCAGGGGAAAGGGGCCTGGTTTTATTCCAAGCCCTGCCTGGAACCTGGCCCATGGTGAACTCCTACACTGCGGCTAACAACTGCTGTAAGATGCAGCAGGTCTATGCAGGAGTAACTCCATATACAAAGGAGAGTTTTTCGGAGACTGATTTTGTACTTGTATTCAAAGAATTTGTTCAACAGAAGGCAGACAAAGCTAAACATGTTCTTCTGTTTAAAACTGTATTATGAATACTTCATATTGTTTGATTTCCACTGATGCTTCTGAAATAATAATAGAAAGAGGCAAGGACTCAAAACTATACGTACTTGAGTGCCCCAAGTATGACAGACTTTACTTTCCCTATAATGCAAAATAGGTGGTGTTACCTTACTGCATCTGGCTGAAAGTGATGCATTATTATAGGATGAATAATCTTCCTTTTCCTATGGTAGGGGCTGAACCAGCCTGTGACATACCTGAAAATGGATGTTAGTATGAGCAGATTTTGAAACAGCAGCGACATACATGTTTGTAGGCTGACAGGGAGGTGATAGAGCTTTAGCTGAACTTCTGCACAGAGATAATGCTTAAGGAGCAAGTAAATTTAAGTCTACATATCCTTGGAAGTAGCTTGTAAAAGACTGTTCCTGGCAAATGAGAATAACTGATCATCTGTTGTAATTTAAGTTTCATTTCAAGCTCCTTTTTTTGTAACCACACCATTAAAAAATTTCATTTTAACTTTAACAGTAAGATTTAATTCAGCAAAGAACTAGATTCTTGAAATAAGGCAGCACATAGTATTTAGGAATTCTACTGAAATACTTTAAATTTGCATCTAAATATTATGTTCTGCTCAAGTGTCAATATATAGGGATGCAATGCCTGAAGTGCAGAGCTTGATGTTTAAATCACTTTGCTGGAGTTATGCCCCATTTTGAGATGATACAGCTCCAACACTCCTGCAGACAGCCAGAGAATCAGCATAAACCTTATTACCTGTTCCTCTCAAGGAGCTCATCCACTGATGACTTGAGGTAGAAACTAACTTGCGTCACAAGTGTAAGGATATTGCTCCCAGGAAAGGTCCCCAGACTTGTGCTGTCCAAAGAGGATCCGTTAAGTTTCTGAACTTACCACGCAATGAGAAGCATCTGAATCCTGCAGCTGGAATTTTACCTCATGAAAGTATCAGTTTCCAAGTTGGACATTCCCAGGAGCTTTTCCACATTTTCTTTAATCTTTTCAGAATAGCCACCTGGCAGAAGACAGTGGAAATAAGTAAATGGAGCCTAAATAACCAAAATGCTCATAGAAGAGGGTTTTTCTGGAGTACTCTGCATTGGCTTAGTAGTTCTCCTTGGATGAAGATGTTTTAAAAGGTAAAATGGAAATAGAACAAGGAAAAAAACTTGGGGGTGGGAGGAGTACATTGCCTTTCACACAATTGTCTTGTGCTAGGTAAAGCACTTCCTAGCTATGAGTTTTCCATTCAGGGTGCTGAATATTTTTAGTGCCTTAATTAAAAACAAGTAGGTTGTGGTTTTTTATTTTGAAAACAAGAAGTGCAGAAAGACAAAAATAAAAATTCTGTTGGCAACTGCCTGTAAAGAAATCAGAAACTACAGGATGTATTTTACCAGACAGGGTACTTCCTAGATCAATTTTAAGAAAATTGGTTAGTTAAAACAACTTTTACATGTAATTAGTCTCATTTATATACCAGTAGTATTTCAAATCAGTTTCGAAAGCAATTCAGCTTCCTAAATATTTTTTTAGTATAAGCACGAAGAAGTTTGTGACCATTTGCGGGTTAGAACATAATAAATTATTAGTATACTATCGCTATTTTCAAATACTTAGGCCAAGAGGCTTCTCTGCTCCTGTATCACAAACATGCAATATGTAAAATTTATTGTTCATAATTCAGACCATGATCAGATAGTCAAACCACCTCAAAATACAATAAGCCTGTGCCAACCTTAGGGCAAGGTCACTTCACTCTTGTGCTAGGCATTAGCTGAGAGAGAATAAAGTTGTCATTGTACCATTCTTTAATGCCTGCAGACATACAGCCAATGATGGAATTGCCACAGGGAGAAGCTCACACAAAACGGAGAAGTGATCATACCTAAATAAGAAAACATTAATTAGACATTTAGTATGTTCTAACAGTAAAATAGGTGGGAAGTTTTAATATTTCAATCACTAAAATTCAGAAAGCTTTACAAACATCAGTTTCTGTCTCAGAGAAGGGACCTTCTATCTCTAAAACGCTAAGTATTCCTGTTTACTAGTAAGAACAGATACAAACCAAATTACTTTCTCAAGCCAAATTAGGGTCAGAAATTGGAGTTCAGCTCTCTGGTATTCCCTTAGACCTCCTGGCTGTTGCATAAAAACCTTTTACTCCTTCATTACGTTAACAAGTTCTCTCTTATGCAACTTCGTTCTATTTGAATTCACATTAGACATTCAGATATACACCAGGCATTAACTATGCTGTCTATAAGCAGTTCAAGGTGGC